TGTTTGAAGCTTTTTTCTCATACATAGATGTCTAATGTCACATTTGAGAATTTCTCACATCACTCTATATATATATGTCACATTAGAAATTTTTTTGTTAAAATGTTTTAAAATATATAAAAATATACAAAATTTTGATTGACGGAAATACTTTCACTAATTATAGACTTACTCTGATTAACAAGTAGCTATAGAACTAGCTAGATGGGACATATAATAATGGAAGTGGGGTGAGGAGTGGGGTTGAGTTTCCATGGATATCCATGCATTCTCTATACTGCATGAGAGCAACAGTAGTGCGTTAAATAATAAACTTGATAATTTTTTTTATTATTGAGATTGTTAGGATATCTTATTCAATGACTACAGACATTTCATTCGAAGGACAAAATTATGCATGTGTGATGTGGGTAATCCAAACATACAACTGATTCCATCATTGTCATTAAATTCCATGTTCCTTTACATTAATTAACCCTCTCAGTTAAAATATATTTTCTATAAAATTTCTGTTTTCCTTGTTATTAGATTTTTTTTTTAAAAAAAAGAATTTTAAGGATTGGAATTATATTTTATCATTATCAAAATGCTTTTGTACAATATTGGACTGTACAAAACGGTTATTGATATGGGAGAACAATCTCACATTCAAGGGGGGGGGGGGGGTTTTATTAATAATTAATTTTTATAATTTGAGACAACATGAAACCACACATAACATTTCTCATATCTTATTTATATGGGGGAAGAATGAGCTCAGATTTAAGCTTGTGAACTCACTAATGTCCTCAAGACCACTTGTCCTGTAGGGTTGTGAACTGAATAAGAGTTTGGGTAGATATATGCAGTTAATTGTTGAATTTCAAAAGGAACAATACAAGGAACCCACTATTAGATTTCAAAGATCTCATTTGGTAGTCAATAAGCTTGTTTTCCTGCCTGATTTTAGGCTTTTCTTTAGGAGATTATCCGGTTGCAGGAAATTAATTAGTCTGCTTTAGCAATCATGATTGCTCCCAAGGAAAGACTGAAATGAAATTAAAGGGTCCCTCGTGTGATTATAGGGCAAAATTTTCAATGTCAATTATGGGATTATATTAACAGGATGCTACTATTTTTCGGTCAGTATGAAAATTGTAGTTTTTGCTATCAACTGAAAACTAGGAGAAGAAAGGTATAGAAATGAAAAATGATTAGTGTATCTTTTAATTCAACATATTTGTCAAAATTTATTGATTTAATTATTAAAAGTTAGAGTTTTAAGTTTTTATGCTTTTAATTTAAATTTACAAACAATATTTTCTTTATAAATATATTATAAAATGTGTTGAATCGAAAAGTATTTGCATCAACATCTTATAAAAATACATTAAAAACAAAACAAAATTAAATAAACAACATGTGTAACATTGCTTTCCTTGGCTTATCAGGAATTTGGTTGCTTCGCTCCCAAAGGGCCTTTTCTTGTATTAAAGTAGTGATAAATTAAAGTAGTGATGAAGAAAAGCACTAACCTTTACTATTAAAATCAAAAGAAATGGAAGTCAAACAAACATCAATTTTGTCTCTCCTCCAAGTTTCTTCAATCAATGGTAAGTGCCAAAGAACCATCATATGCTTTGCTTTGCAAGAGACAATGATGTCTTTTGAGTATTGCTCTCTAAAAGGAGTGGACAAAAATGGTAGAAAATTGCCAAGCCATTGGATGCTTTGTTGGACTTATCATTCTTTTACAACTTCTTTCTTTTTGGTTAATGATCATTGGTTTTGTGTTTTTACATCTTTTGGGACGCCAAGTGCCTCTACCATAATGCATCTTGAGTGAAGTGGCTTGAAACCTAGAAGTTAGGTAATTGGTACTCTACATATAGGGAATTTATAGGTAAATATGATACATTTAAAAATAATAAATATTCCCGTAAATAAAGAAACAGTCATATAAAATTAATAAAAATTAAATTTACAACATTAACAACAAAGATGCATCTACTTAAATTTGAGCAATTTAGCAATTGATTATTGATTATCAATTACCAAAACTATTTAAACACTTAATCCAACTACTTGTAATTGCTCAAGTTCAAAAACAAAATAATAAATCCAATAACTACTTAAAATTGGCATGAGCAGAACGCTTCTTAAAAGGCCAGAAATGACCTGTTTCTGCTTTTATTCTTTTGAAGACGGTAAAGCGTGCCAAAGATGTCCAAGATTGCCTGCCCTTTTGTTCCCTCTTTTTTACACTCGTCTTCCTGTTTTGCAACTAAAGGTTTTGACTTTAAACAAATCCGTCCGTCTCTTTTTTGCGCTTAAAAACTTCAAAGCTGAGTGACTAGCAACACTGTTGAAACCAAAAGATTTGGCAATCCCAAGTTAAACCAAAAGCAGTGGGAAAAGCATGCAACCATGTACTGACCCACAAGAGCGGCCCCATCACTTTGGACAATTGCAATCTATGGTTTGAACACCGCCTGTTAGAGAAAATTTACCAAAGATGTTAAGCAACGAGTTACATTTCCAACTGGGTCTCCGGCTTTGTCTCTCTTCCTTAACCCCACTTCTCTATTCGTATTTTCTTTCTCAAGTTCTCGTTTTTTCTCTATTGGGTTCGGTTGTTTACTCTCTTAACTTTCCATGGACAAGCAGCAGCTATCCCTGGCCAAGAGTGCCCGGCAGAGATGCAATGAATGGTTTGTTTTCATGCTTTTGTTGTGTATTCTTTTCTTGTTGTAATTCACTAGAATTCAATTATTTTTTTTATTTATTTCCGTTGTTGGGTTGTCTCCTTTTCCCACCCTTGCTTCTCTGTTTTGGATGCTGCAGGAGCAGTGTCATATCATGTTTTATCTATTCGTGCTATGTTTTCATGTTTGTGGTTCCCTTGAGATTTTTGGTTGCTCTTTTGAATGACTTTCATGTTTTGTATGCATGGTTTTTCTTTTCACCTGTTTTTAGTGATGTCTTTGGATGGTTTAGTTTTTGGGCTTGTTAGGAGATAACCCTTTGAAGGAACGTTGGAAGGGAATTGGAAATGCAACTGCTATTAGTCTATACTTAATTGGTCAAGCATGTTTTCTGGCAGCCTTGTAGGCAATTGGTTTGTTATGGCCCCTTTTTTTGGCATTTCATCATAATTTGCTGAATCCCGGATCTTCTAGTTGTTGATGTTAATTTAATTTAAATCTTAAAGTTTATGATGGCATCTTCTTCAAATGTTCTGAGTGTTTGAGTTCCCTGTTCTGAGGGTCTTCAGATATTTTGGAGGGCCAAAGCTATTAAGGAAGCTTCCTTCATGGCAGTCCTTTATTCTTTTTTTTTTTTTTTTAAAGAGTTCAAGTGTTCCTTCTGTCAATAAGGAGATAATCCTCCAATTGCAGGATTTTTCGTGATGTTCCAAGTGATATCACTATAGAAGTCAATGGAGGGACGTTTGCACTGCATAAGGTAATTATGCTCTCTTTTATGCTGAACCTTGCTCTTATCTTTCTGTTTGGCAGAACGCATCTAGCTATTGATATGCTTTTTTGCTTCTCTCTCTTCTTTATTTTTATTTTTTATTTTTATAATTTAGAGCTAAAGGATGAGAGAAAAGATAAATGGCTTTAAAGGCGTGTCAAGATCTGGTATTTGTTACTTGGTTGTCTCAGTATGAGTTGTGCGACTAATAGAAAACGGACTTAGTTGATATAGAGAACAATATAAAATAAGTTCAGCCTTGTAATATAGTGTGCATAATAAATGTAGATGGAGGATGAAAAATTAGCAAGAGTTGAAGAAGAATCTTGTAGCTTTCTGGTTTGATACGACTTATATCTGAATTGTACTCTTTTCGTGTTTTCAATTTTGTTCGGAGTAGTTGGGGAACAGTTTGGTAAGCTATGCTAACCATGAAATTATGTTGTAGTTAGAAAATTTTAAAAGTGAAGCTTCTAGTTCAGAAGATTTCAAATCATTTCATATTTTTGTGAAAACTGAATCATTTCATAGTTTGTTCATTATATCTTTGAATATAAAATTTTCAAATATAGGTTATGATTGATTTTGTGAAATTTCAGCATATGTGTCTTCAAATAACTTAAAACAATCTCCTGTCCTGAGTGTTTTTTTATCACCACTTATCAGGAGGCATTTATTGATGAGTGTAATAGTCATATTGCAAGGGAAAAGTTCAAGAATATCTGTCTTACTCCAATGATCACAACCTTATAAAATTCTATCTGAAAGAAAATGGTGACTTTAGCCCTTTAGTAGATTTACTAGTTGTTTTCTGGTTGGTTTTCACTGCAGTGAGAAAGCAGGTTTTTTTTTGCTTTATGAAAATTAGTACCAGTATTTTTTATATCTGATAATCAGGGTTGTTATATGCAGTTCCCTCTTGTTTCCCGAAGTGGAAGAATCCGAAGGTTAGTTGCAGAACATAGGGATTCTGATATCTCGAGGGTGGAACTTCTTAATCTACCAGGAGGTGCTGACTCATTTGAGTTGGCAGCAAAATTCTGTTATGGAATTAACTTTGAAATTACATCTTCAAATGTGGCTCAGCTCTGTTGTGTTTCTGATTACCTAGAAATGACTGAAGAGTTTTCAAAAGATAATCTTGGTTCCCGTGCTGAAGAATATATTGACAGTATTGTTTGCAAGAACCTTGAAATGTGTGTTGAAGTTCTGCAACAATGTGAGAAGCTACTTCCTCTGGCAGATGAGCTGAAAATTGTTAATCGATGCATAGATGCAATAGCCTCGAAAGCTTGTGCTGAGCAGATTGCTTCAAGCTTCTCACGCTTAGAATATAGCAGTTCAGGTAGACTTCACATGAACAGACAAGCCAAATGCGAAGGAGACTGGTGGATAGAAGATCTATCTGTTCTTAGAATTGACCTGTATCAAAGAGTCATGACAGCAATGAAATGCCGCGGGGTCCGTCCTGAGAGTATTGCTGCATCCCTTGTAAGTTATGCCCAGAAGGAGTTGACCAAGAAATCCAGTACATGGAATTCATCTGGCCAGACAAAAGTTGATCTAACTTCAAGTTCAACTGCAAACGAACGAGTTGTGGTTGAAACCATTGTCAGCCTGTTGCCTATTGAGAAACTTGTTGTTCCTATCACTTTCCTTTTTGGGCTTCTACGCAGTGCAGTGATGCTTGATTGCAGCATTGCCTGTAGACTTGATCTAGAAAGGAGGATTGGGTCCCAGTTGGATATTGCAACTCTGGATGACCTTTTGATCCCGTCTTTCCGGCATGCAGGTGATACCTTATTTGATGTGGACACAGTTCAAAGGATTTTGGTAAACTTCTCACAACAAGATGCCAGTGATGATGATTTGGATGATGCATCGGTTTTTGAGTCTGATAGTCCCCGTTCACCCTCCCAAACTGCACTGTTTAAAGTTGCAAAACTGGTGGACAATTATCTTGCTGAAATTGCTCCTGATGCAAACCTCAAGCTTTCAAAGTTCATGGCCATTGCAGAAAGTTTACCAGCACATGCCCGTACCGTTCATGATGGGCTATATCGAGCCATTGATATTTACCTGAAAGTATGTATTCCGATATCTTACTCTCTATGCATCTGGAAATGTGTTTTGCTATTTTGCTCAAGATAAATCACACCTATAACTACTTAAAAATAAAGCTCTTCTGCATATCAAAGATACTTCTTGTAGGTTTAGGCTTGAAGGAACAAGTAGCCTAGCCACTGGTTTCGAAGAAGGATGGAGATAAAATTCCAAGTAAAAAAGAAGTATCTGATTCTTCATTTCTACTTAATTGAGCTAAACTACATTTGACATTCATTTTGATGTGGTTTACTTACACTATCTATTTTTTATGAACAATCATGATCTTTTCTAGGAGCCAATAATGTTTCATTTCTCTCACAGTTATCCATAGTTGAAAAGTTTTTTATCTATTGAAACTAGAGAGGTTTAAAAGTTCTGTTTCTAACTTTCAAGTGACTACATGTTCAGGCTCATCAGGCCTTATCTGAAACAGACAGGAAGAAGCTTTCCAAATTGATTGATTTCCAAAAGCTCTCACAAGATGCTGGTGCACATGCTGCACAAAATGAACGCCTTCCCCTGCAATCAATTGTCCAAGTGCTCTATTTTGAGCAATTAAGGCTCCGAAATGCTCTGTGCAACTCTTATGCCGATGATGATCCTAAGCCGATGCACCAGTCATGGAGGATCAGCAGTGGTGCACTCAGTGCAGCAATGTCTCCTCGAGACAACTATGCATCATTGAGGCGAGAAAACCGTGAGCTAAAACTTGAGCTTGCTCGGCTGCGGATGAGACTGAATGATTTAGAGAAAGAACACGTATGCATGAAGAGAGATATGGCAAGGTCTCATTCTCGAAAGTTTTTAACCTCTTTCTCAAAGAAAATTGGCAAACTGAGCTTCTTTGCACATAGTTCTTCAAGGGGATCAAGTTCTCCCTCAAGGCACTCCTATAGAACAGATTCTAAGGTGATCGAGAGAACCTGTGCAAGCACTGATTAGGTAATTAGCATTACCCACATTCTTTTCTCTGTATCTGTTTAGTAAAGCCATGCTTTTTGCAACCTTTTGTTTATTGTTTTCTAATTTTCCCTTTGGCCACTTTGTATATGAGCTGTGATGCTTTGAGTTAACAAGAGTAGGGGCTTCTTTTTTTTTTTTTTGATTTGCATGTTGTGCTATTTACTCCCTGGAGAGAGTGGTTTTGATACTGTCTGTATTTTACTTAAAATGGATTTCCATTGTACATATGTAGATAATGTTCATTTGCTTATATTACTATTGGCATGATTTCAGCTTGTAGCAAACAAGAAATGCAACTTTGGAAACCATATAAACTGGGCGGGCATCAATTACCTGGATTGCAACTTGTTTTCCTTTTTGTGACATTTTCTGCATGGTGAATGTTAACAGTAAGGCAAGCCATAGTTTGAACAAGGATTTGCTGTATCCTTGCAAATCCTGTTGTGTGGCCAATTTTTTGTGAAAGTTGTGTGGGAACTGCAACAGGATTTTGGGAGTATGTATTAAATTACCCTCATCAGAGACAAAATCAGGCAACATTAAACAATGTTTGACCTCAGAAGAATGACAAAAATATATCTATGGATATGCAAGTTTCATCGAAAATCCTGGACATTCTGTTCTAGATTCTATCTATAGATCTCTTGTCATTCCTCGTCCTGGGTTGGCAGGAGGAACGAAACCCTGAGATGAAGCAACTTTCGGACACTGTCATGTTTTCTCAAGCAAAGATTTCAACGTAGTCAGGGACGGACCAGAAAATAATTTTAGGGGGGCGAAGTACCATGTGAAAAATGTGCATGGTACTTTATAAACAGAGAAATGATATACAGGATGATTTTGGGGATTTTGGGGGACAAAATTGAAAGGCGATAAGTGAAGCAGTTCCAACAATAATTACCAATTTAACCTTGCTTCACTTGTCATTCTTCAGTTTCGTCCTCCAAAATCATCTTGCGTATCATTACTTTTATAAATAAAGTTAAGATTTAAATATATAAAAATTAAAATTTTAGAGACTTTAAATGTAGAAAAATTTGTTAAAATTTGTATTAAATTTCAATTTGAAACATAACTTTTATAATAAAATATTACTTCATATGATCTAGATAAAAAAATTATATGTTTTAAAAAATTGATAATACCAATTTAAAGTCAATTTTATTTTGTTACTCGATACAAATAATTATTAGCTATACATATATTACAATGACAATAAGTCAAATAAATAAAAATATTTTATTAAATTTATTTTACTTGTCAAGTGATTAGTAATTTATCAAAAAAATTATAAAAAAATAAAAATTAGAACACATCATTTTATTTTTTTCAAAAAGGGTTTTTTTTTTTTATTTTAAAAGTATAGGACCTATTTAATTCTTTTTCAAAAGTCTAGGCGGGGCGAGCGCTCCCCCTCGCACCCTCCTGGCTCCGTCCCAGAACGTAATAGCCTCCTTTCTACATTTATTCATTAGGACATAATCTTCTTCTACCCTAGTAGATGCTGCTCTACTAGAATTGTAATCTTCATAGTGTGGAGTTCTGATGGCAATTATTTAATCTGTCTGTGATTTCTTATTAAATTTTTGATAGGCGTGTTGATGCCTAGTTGTCACCTCAGCAAGAGGTTCATTCTGGGATTGCCCGTGGAATCTCTCACCCCAGAATTGCTTCTGGGAACGTTCCCTGTCAGAGGAACTGGTCTGAAACGGTTTATCGTTGGATTGGAATCTGTTACCACCATAGACATGCTCCTGGGGCCGGGGTGATACCTTGTCCAAGGAAATGGCCTGAAATAGTGGTTTGAGAGATTGAAATCTGTCACCACAGACATACTCTCGGAATTTTCCCTCTCCCAGGCAAGGGTATGAAAGAATTGATTCTGGAATTGCCTACTTTTATGGTGCTTAGGAGTCACTCTTGCCAATGACTTGATAGGTGAAGCTACTTCAAGTACTTGTTGATGCCGAGCATATTATATGGAAGATGGTAACCCCTGGCTTTTAACAGTTTATTAAGTGTATGATTAGGAACAATGAAGAAAACTTTCCCTAGATGCAATACTGACTCAGGTCTAACAACGACCCATGGATACTCAAACACATCTGGTCGTGTAACACAGTGTTTTGGGTTCTTCTTTATCACTTCTGCAGCAGTGATAGGCTGCTTGTATATATCCACAAACCTGCCTCGATACACCAGTTTCAGCACGCCTTACTCGCCTGTTACAACTCCCATTTCTCTGGTTCTCATCAGTAGTAAAAGCAAGTGAACATTGACGAAGAGGGAATGCAATTCATCAGCCTGCATGTTCTTACAGGCCTTCCCCTCTTGCCTGGTGACAAAACTTGACGGATAGCACAAGGATAATCTTTGCAGAAATGAGTATGGTATTTGTACCGTTCACTAGCCTTGGCTGTAACGTAGACATTTATCATTATTCTAGTCTATTTTTAATAGAGCCTATATCTTTACGATATGATCAAAGACGGTATTGAACAATGACCGCAGGGTATGACGTTTAAGTCTTCTAGAACGACGCTCGATGTCAAAGGAAGGCAGTTTCTTTATCAAATTGCATATCAAGGAGAAAGAAAAACAATGACATTAAAACAATAATATGTCTCTCATAAATAAAATATTAAACGGTTCCACCACTCCCCAGTCTGAACAGATATAAACAAACTTAAGTAAACAGGGAACTAGTATAATCTTATTGTGAATTCCTTTCAGATTTTACCATGGTATTGATACTCAAGCTGATTTTGTGTAGAAGCGGATGCCAAGAGCCAATCCCAAGATTAGCAAGGGAACTAGGAATTGAAGGAGCTTGATAACAAACTCTGATGTCTTGTCTTGCTCATAGTGAGGCTGCTTAGGAGGGGTATACTTGGTCTTGGCAGGAACGGTTGATGTATTGATGTCACCTACATAATACTCATCCATCATGGCTTTGGCAGTGCTGCTGTGACCAACATCCTCGAAATCATCAGTTGCGTCCTTCCCTGCAAAATAGAATCAAAACAGCATTACTTTTACCAGTTCTATTGCTGCAGAGGTTACCCAAAGTATGCCCAATGCTCACAGTTTTGTCATACCTGTGGAAGACAACAAGACCTCATCACCACCAGGATGGTCTTCCAAGAATTTTGTTACATTGTATACCTGTCCCAGCAAATAGATTTAGTACTCTATGATGTTAAGACAAATATCATGATGCAGAATCAAAATTGATCGAGTTGGCATTAGTATTAATCTGCCTAAAACTTGATGTGAGTGTAAGATTGATTGCCAAATCTGCTATCTCACTATTGGTTACAACAAATCTCGAAAATTGATTTTAACTCATGATCATGGATCTAAACCTTGTAAATTTTACAATATTTTAGCTTGCTCACAATGCTATTAACAATATTATGGAGGATGAAATTGAGCCAAAGGATGAAAAATTGACACTCATGTCTCATATTGAACTGTCATTCATAATGGTGAAGTTCATCCGCCATGAGATCCAACCCATACATACTTTATTAAACAATTCATGGAGGATGGATATGCAGACTTCTGAACCTCCATGAATGCAAATGACAGTCATTTCTTTCGCGACCAAGAGTCCAATGTCCTTAAATTAAAACTGTCTTACCTGTTTCCTGTCTACCTATCTTGACTCAAGAGTAATCATTAGTAAGTTAATTTTGTGTCTGAGGCAATCTAAAATCTTGTTTGGAATCATTTTAGTAAAGAAACAGTCAACAGAAACTGATCTAACACTAGACATGGAGTTCACTAAATATCAAGTCCTCATCAGTAAGTTTTTTACAGCTTCAATAAATTAAATAACAATATCATTATCATCTATCAGCCAAGTGGTTATAATTCCACTAAACCTTGTACCACATTAAAAATATAAAAATAATACCAAGTGTTGATACAATGAAAAGGGATAAAACTCTATATGATGTTGAAGCGCACAGGTACAGACAGAGCAGCTAAGAGAACAAAATATAGATCTTCAAATATGAACCAAACCAACAGAGGCAAAACATCCCCACATTCGAATAGCAAAACCATAATGACCCTTATGAAACAAGAATATTTACGGTGGATAAAAGACTTCAAATATTTACTTAAAAGACGAACAAAATTGAAATAATTCAATCCTTCATGTAGTAAGCATATGGGAATTTTGGACTGGAGATATTCATGCTTTTTATATATCAAATCGGAATTGTGAATGATCAACACCTTAAAAGAAAATTCCTTTCGTGTTCCCAGTCATCACAATGAAAAAAATCGAAAACCAGAATTGCCAATCAACAAAACCAATGTAACAAGACACACGAAGATGAAAGTATCAAAATTTCATTGCTGAATGGTCATCATTCATGCAATTTCAATTCTCCTAACATCAACAAGAAAATTAAGATCCAGAATCGAATAATTAACAATAAACAGGTTTCTCTAGATCCAATCAGTCTCACTCTTCTTACTATAAACCATAAAAAGTCAGACTTTTTTCAGAAATGAAAACAAATAAACAACATCCAAAATCAAAAAACACAACCCAATAAGGCTCTACCCCAGATTGAATCAGATGGGAATTGAAGTAACATGAATACCTTGCCGTCAATTACAAGCCAGCAGTCTTTGGGGGTGTTGTGCTCGGAGACCTCAGCTAAAGTATAGACCTTTCCACCACCCATGTTTTGCTTCTTTGAGAAAAGAGCAGGGTTGAATCCAAGCTCAAATAGTCCTGTGCCTACCACAGGCGTCGTGGGATTTGGAACCAAAAGAGGAAACGGTGGGCTGGGGAGGCAAGGTCAATGGCTCACTGGTGGGGGTATTTGTATTGGATTGGACGCGTGGGGGTTGGTGAGGGTGAAATGGTTGTGACACCACCAACCTTTGACTGTGATAACTGGAATCTGTGATTTCATTTGTAACCTCTGTTCTTATTTGAAATTGTTTTTTGCTCCCTCTAGTTGGTCTTTTGTTGTCATTAAGAGAGGTTGTGTCAATTTTGGATATATATATAGAATTTGTCTAACATGTGCAATCAAAGTATAGGTATAGGTTAAAATGTAATAAATATATATTTTTATAATTAATTTATACAAAAAAATAAAAATTAACTTTTATTTTAGTATTTTTGTCATGTAATCAGTTTTAATTAATTAATTAATTAAATTTAAATTAATTTTTATCATTTTTTGTATATGTATATAAAAAAATAAAAATTAACTTTTATTTTAGTATTCTTGTCATGTAATCAATTTTAATTAGTCAATTAATTAAATTTAAATTAATTTTTATCATTTTTTGTATATGTTAATTATAATAGAGTGCATTTATTACACCTTTATCTTGTATTCTAAGAGCACAAAATAGAAAATTCCATATATATATAATATTAGTATGTACCAATTTCAACTCTTAAAAATAATTAAAATTCTAACTTATATTTTAAAATTGAAATCTTATGTTGATGTTTAAATTTAGAAATTCATTATATATTCTAATATATCAATATTTAATAAAATAATTTTTTAAATTTTGAATTGAGTTTTAATTAAATAAACACGACATGATTTAAGATTGAAACTCCAATTATTTTTAAAAATTAAAACTAATATGTATTTTTTTATATATAAAAATTATTTTATAATTCATATTATATTAAATTATAAACTAAAAATTATTAGAGAGAAAAGGATTCCTAATATTAGCATACCTAATTTTTATTTAAAAGTTAGTATTGTAAAAAATAATATTTATTTTTATAACTTTTTATAAAAATTTATTATAAAAGTGTAATTAATACACTACAAATACAAATTAAAATAATTTTAAGAAAAATTATGTTATTGTTTGAGAATTTTTTAAAAAAAATTTATTTATTAATATGAGTACTAAATTCTATAAAATATTAATTAAAATTAATTTAATTATAATAAATTAATACTTTTACAACTATTGTATGAGCAACAAATGCAACTTAAATCCTCATTCAAAATTAAAACAAATTAATTACATTAAATCGTAGAACATAAATGTATTTATAAAAAAGATAACGGAACTTAAATGTTAATTATATAAAAAAAATCTGTTGTATCTCAGATATACCATGTGAACCGAATTCAGACTAATTACAACATGTTACATCTGTTTTTCATTACATGACAATTTTTTTTTTGAGGATCTGTTAACTTCTACCTTGTATTATAGGTTAAATTTAATTAAATATAGTATTTTAAATTAATTTTGTGTAAATTTTTATATTAAAATTAATTAAAATAAAATATAAAATATAAAAATAAAATATAATATAATATTTCTGTTTTTCATTACATGACAATTTTTTTTTTGAGGATCTGTTAACTTCTACCTTGTATTATAGGTTAAATTTAATTAAATATAGTATTTTAAAT